TTTTTTTTTTAATTCTTTTATTGGTACATTGTAGGTATACAACACAATTACATTTCTCATTGGGAATTGTACCTTTACATAATGCATCTTGGTTTGCCCTCCAATTTTGATTTCCATAGTTCCAGGGGTGTGATGGTGGTGAGCTTTTCAGAGATGAGTGCCCAAACTGCAACCCAAAACCTACTTACTGCACAGTGCCAACACTGCAGTCAAAGCTGAATGCTGAGGTTTCCATTTAGGGAAAACTCATGTATACATTAACATATTTTAAAAGAAAAATAACATGTCCCATAGATTTGTCACCACTGTTCTGGGGTGCAGGCTGAAAATTGGCATTTCTCACAAGTTTTTAGGAAATAATAGATGGCCCGGGAAAAACATGAAGCATAGCATCAGACTGAAAAAAATGAGAACTATGAGCTTGATTTAAAAAAAAACCAGGGCCAGGGATTTAGCTCAGTGGCACTGTGCCTGCCTCACAAGTGCATGGTCCTGAGTTCGATCCTCGGTACCAAAAAAAAAAACATACGCAAATATGTTTGCCTCTAGCAACTACACAGTGCTCAGACTATTGGGCCTAAGTGTATTACTAGGCACCTGCACGGTGAAGCTGAATCTTGAGAGAAGTAGTCTATAAATTCATGAGGGTTTTTTTTGCTGCCCACTACCCAGTGTGTCCTCCCCCAGTCACCCATTCTGTTTCATGCATTACCTCAGGCCTTCAACTTTCCTCATCTTTTAAATTTTTATTTTACCCCTGCCCCCAAGCTCCCTCCTCTCCTTATGTAGAAAAGCTTTTCCATCTATTTTCACTTTTTTTGATCCCTTTCTCCCTTGTTCCCCTTCCCATTTGAACACTTTCTTCCCATTTTCCAACATCCTTTATACATTTCAGTCTTTATTTCCACTTTGACTTTCTCACACCAGAGAAACAATGGCAGTATTTAAACGTGTGTAGGATTTATTTCCATCCATGTAGCTAGAAATGTTTGAAGTTCATCCTTCATGGCAGATTAGTACTCCATTGTATAAAAAACCCCACATCCTTATCTTTATCCACTTGTCAGTTGATGGGCATTTGGGCTGTTTCCAAGATTTAGCTATTGCAAACTGCTGCTATAAACATGGTGTGCATATATTGCTATGGTGTGTTGCTTTCGGGAAGATACCAGGAGAGAGAGCTGGGTCAAATGAAACCTCTAGTTATATTTTTGAGAAATCACACTGGTTTCCACAGTGGTTGCACCAGTCTACACTCTTCACCAACAGTGGAGAAGGGTTCCCCCCCCCCCAAATCCCTTCAGGATTTGTTACTGGTTGATTTCTTGATAGCAGCCATTCTTTCTGAAGTGAAGTGGAATCTCAGTGTCTAAATTTGCATTTCACGAATGACCAGTGATACTGAACACTTCATATATTTCTTTGCTGTTTCTAATTTATCTGAGAAGTGTCTTTCAGATCCCCATTTTTGCATTGAAGACTTCTAAATTTAATAACTAAGTTCAGTAGCATAGCTGGATACAAAGTCAACACTCAAAAATCAATAGCATTCCCTATACACAAACACAGAAATTAGGGAAACGGCACCCTTCACAATAGGATCTAAAATATGAAATACCTAGGAATATATAATGAAGGAACTAAATGACCTTTACATGGAAAATTACAGTACTCTGAAAAAGGAAATTGAGGATATCAAAATGGAAAGAGACCCCTTGATCTTTGTTAGGAACCAATATAGCGAAAATGGCCATATTTCCAAAATTGTTATACAGACTTAATGTAATCCCGGCCAAAATACCAATAGCATATATCACAGAATTAGAGAAAACGAACCTTAAATTTATTTGGAACCAGAAGAGACCTAGAATAGCAAAGGCAATTCTGGGCAACAGAGGCAAGGCGGGGGGTATCACAATCTCTGAGTTGAAATCATACTACAAATTGTGATAAAAACGGCATGGTTAAAAAAAAAAAAGGCATGGTACCGGCCAAAAAACAGACCTGAGGATCAATGGAATAGGGTTGGTGCAGAAACAACTCCAGACACAGTCACCTTACCTTTGACAAAGGAGCCAAACACCCTCACTGGAAGAAAGCTGCTTTAATAAGTGGTGCTGGAAAAACTGGCTGTCTCCACATGACAAAGATTAAAACTAGATCCCTAACTTTCACCATGCATGAAACTAAAATCAAAATGGATTAGAGATCTAAATGTTAAAACAATCTGCTGGAAGAGAGAACAGGTAGAATTGAAGACATTGGTGTAGGCAAGGATTTTATGAACAAAACCCTGATTGCACAGGAAATATAAAGAATCAACAACTGGGATCTCATTAAAAAGCTTTTGCACAGCAAAAGAAACAACAGAGTAAAGAGACAACCCACAGTGTGGGGAAAAAAATCAATAACAAATGCTGGCGGGGCTGTGGGGGAAAAGGAACCCTTCTCCACTGCTGGTGGGAGTGTCGACTGGTGCAACCACTGTGGAAATCAGTGTGGAGATACCTCAAAGAACTAGAGGTTCCATTTGATTCAGCTATTCCCTTTGGTATCTTCCTGAGTTAATTATATACCACGGTGATATATGCACACCCACATTTATAGCAGCACAATTTTTAATAGCTAAATCTTGGAAACAGCCCGAATGCCCAACAACCAATGAATGGATAAAGATGATGTGGTTTTTTTTTTTTTTAATAAAATGGAATACTACCCTGTCATAAAGAAAGATAAGCTTGAGACATTTCTAACTAAATGGATGCACCTTGAGACCATAGTCTTAAGTGAAATAAATCGGACACACATGTTTAAATACTGCATTGCTTCTCTGGTGTGAGAAACTGAAAATGGAAATAAGGACTAAAATGTGTAACAGGTATTGGGAAATGGGAAGAAAATGTTCAAATGAGAAGAACAAGGAAAGGAGGGGGAAAAGAAGGAAGGGACAA